GAGATGTCCCGCCTGCGGCATTTTGATCCGAGCTGTGCAGTCAGCAGCCCAAGTTTTGCCAATCATGGCCCGGCATGGGAGCAAAAAAAGCGAGAGCCTGGACTGGTAGTTGAGATGCGGCTGAAGAGATGTGCTGCTTTGCGCATATGAAGCCTGCTCGATAGCTAGCCTGCCAGAATTGTTCATGGCTGCAGGTCTGGCGGCTGCTGATGTTCCGCAATGGCAACATTGCAAGAGACGGCAGGCGCTATTGGGCAGATGTAATGGGATGCGCTCAGGCTCCCCAGCAGGCTGTACATGAGTTTCAACCCTAAATCCGAATCCTCAAATCCAAACCCCACGGCTTGACATTCAGAATGCTGAGGGGCCGGATGGCAGTGGCTTAGGTTTTAAATTTCGGGATAGGTAGAAGGTAACGAGTATTCTCAAAAGATTACGAGCAGAATAGTTCAAGAAGCAGCGCCGCAATCTCTTTTTGCAAGATTTTACGCCTAAGCCGCAAATGTCTTTTCAATGCTAAATACAACGCAGCCCCAAAGTCCCTTGGCAACCCAAAAGCTTGAGGTCCTGCGGGCTTCGGTTTGGGGCTTTGGGGTTGCAGATTTCCTTCCCTATCCCTCGTTTCCCTGAGGTGGCCGATGCCTGCTGGCGAAAAGTCAAGGCTCATACCGGAATACTTTCTGGGTTCGGATGGTTTCTGACAACTTCAAGGTTTTGCTTGTTGGGGACCAGGGGAGAGGAGGCCTTCCAAGATTCGAGCCAGTTTCGCAGGGAAGCGAAAAGAGCAACGCGCGCATGCGCGTTGTAGACACTTGACATGCCGACATGCGCAAGAACTCATTTGGATTCCGTGTAGAATTGTGTCACGCTTGTGAGCTACTGCAACGCAAGTAAACTCGCGTAGGGTGTTTGACCTATTTCGAACAGTTTAAGAGTGTAGGAAAGATGGGGATGTATAGGGGCGTTATATGACCAACAGTCTAAACTCCTTAAGGGGGATTATCTCGGGAGCTTTGTAGGGCTTATTGAGGGGGAATACTAGGAATTAGGACTTTAGCTCATATGGAGATATTTAGGGTCATAGATGCTAGTGGCAAGGTGGAGTTATGTAGGGAGATTATCATATAACACAGGTGAGGGTTTAGGGTTTAGGGCGTAATATAATGATAGGGGTCATGATTTTGAGAACAACCCATGAAGGGTCATTGTCGCCTCCTTGGAAAGATGTTCCGTCTTTGGTCTAGCGCAGCCCTCAGGAATCATTAGTAGTATTACGTTGATCATAGGTCTCTAGGAAATTGCAGCACAGCGTACATATCGTATATACATATGAGCCAGAGTCTAAACTGCTTAAAGGATATAAGTGATCATAAAGGGGATACTGGGAGTTTAGACTATAATATTATAGCCCCTATAATCCCCTACATAACCCTCTACCTATATACATATGGTAGTTTCCATTTCTTTTTTCCATGTTCTTTTCCATTTGATTCTTCATTATTAAGGGGGATGCTAGGAGTTTAGACTATAACACCTATAACCAAAGTTTCCATTTCATGTTCCATTTTCTTTTCCATTTCAGTCTCCATTATCAGGGGGATAGTAGGAGTTTAGACAATAGACCCTACACCCCAAGTCCTTGACCCTAAACCTTAAACCCGCACGTCCTAAACCCTTAAAGCCTGAACCCGCCCTTTGCATTAGCAATAAACAGTAGATGGTTATAGTAGTGGTAGTACCAACACGAGTGATATTTTTTGAAATAGTAGTAATACGACTATAACATGTTCTGTCTTTCCCTCTCTCTCTCTCTCCTCCCTCCCTCTCTCCTCTCTCTCTATCCCTCTCTCTCGCTCTCTCCCTCTCTCTATCTCTCTCTATCTCTCTCTCTCTCTCTCCCTCTCTCTCTCTCTCTCTTTCTATCTCTCTCTCTCTC